ATCTCATTTCCTACTCTTTATCTATCAACATATATTCGTCGTTTATTCTTTTCTCTACGTGCATAACGATTTAATAACCTTAGAATACGCACACACACACACACACACACACACACACATATATATATATATATATATATATATATATATACGTATGTGTGCATGCAAAAATAATAGAATGATGAAATCTGCATAATTATGTGTGAGACTGATAGAACATAGCAAGCAAATACGAGTGTGAGAGCAGCATGTGCATTTCTTTAGAGCTTTCTATATTGCATTACAAAAGCAAGCATCTTAAAATTAATATATCTGACGCCATTTAATAGCAAATTCTCGGAAGTAAGTTGCTATCAAATTAAGAAGTAAATCAATATCACTTTTCTTATTGGTCTCATAATGAACAATAGCATAATACTAAAATGACCGAAGATTGCTGATTCAGGCATATGAATCATGAAACCATTTTACAAGATTGTGAAGGCCTCACAAACGTCATCTTTTAAAATGCATTTGATGAATAGGCAGAATAATCCTCATATTTTTTATCATTTATTCACTTTATTAAATTTAATAGCTATATAAACTGTTTCGACTTGTCAAATGTGGATTTGAAATTGGAAATGGACTTGTATTTAGTGACTAAATCTAAACAACGTTGAAATAGCATATATTCTGATATTTTTTTCCTCTTTTCAAAACGTTTTTGTTTTCTGCATAATGTTAAAAATATAGATAATTGTTCTTGATATAAAATCAAGGTTAATTATTCGTCAGACATTTGGTACATTTAGAATGATTTCGGGACAGACATTTCTAATACCTTCATAATTCTTTAAAAATGGCTGAATATTAATTACAGAAACACCATAGATTTACTAATTTCTGTATGAATTTATGGGATGATCATTGTTTACATTCGGACTAATGTCCTTATTTTTGTTGTCGTTAACGTTTCGACCGTTGCGCAATTCAGGCTTCCAAAGGTGTCTGTCGATCAACATTACTTTCGTTGCCTTGGTAATATAGTAATTATTCAATCACTGGGCCAGTTTTTATAGTCTTTGACTCAGAAGGATCACTAACTGTGCAATAGTAAAAACAAAAAATAGAAAAGGATATCTCTATACATGGAGAGCGAAATGAGAACAATCTACCCCTATAGATTAAATGAAAGACTTACTTTGAGTGTTCCTGATGATTGCCCGGATCGACAGATAATGATGACGGCACAACGAATGAAACGTTGTGATAATAATGTAATGTAAATACAGTAGGCCCTCTCAGTACGAGTTTAATTAGTTCCCAGACCAAGCTTGTATTGGAAATTACACGTATTATAAACCAGTTTCCCTACTGAAATTAATGGAAGATTAATTAATTCGGCTTAGTTACCCCAATAGATCCAAAATGTCTATTTTAGAATTTTAAAAAATAGAAAATGTACAGTAAGAAATTAAATCCCAAAAAGTACATGTAAGAACTTGATAAGAGAGAATAAGAGAAATAAACAGCTTTTTATTAGACTACAAACCTTTCATAAAAAATTTCTGGCGTTTTCCCTCATAACTTAAGGTCTTTTGTGGCATTTGATTTCGTTTTTGGCACTTGCAGGTCGTTTCTTTAGAAACTTATCAATAGAAATCTGTTTCTTTCAAATGTCACGAAAATAGTCAACACAATTTTCGATGAACAAAGCAGCCGCACGATTAACACTTATTTGGGGAGGGGGGTATTTTTTCACAAAGTCATGAACTTTTTCCACATATCCAGCACTTCTTTGATCGCAATCGTGGGAGCAACCTCCGTCACACTTTCCTTCCTGGCTAGTTCTTTTACCTCTTCCATATTTTGATGATCATGAAGCAGCTAAAGTTCCTCTCCGTGCTAGTCGATGAGCTCGTCAACAGTCACCAGGCATCAACTTTGAGGCCTAAAGACTTTCCAGGGAAAAGAAAATAGCATTAGAAGATGACGTTATCTGTGATAAACTCTTCGAAGAATTTCCTCTTATAAAATGAAATGTTCTGGACATCAGACGTTCACAGATGCGATTAACTTTGCCTTTAAACGTGTTGTTTCTTAGAAATAAATGATGTCATCTGGCAATTCTTCCCTTTACCTCATTCACCGACTGCTTCCGTTTATATAACGGTTGCTTGTACTGCGAATTTTTACTCGTACTACGATACAAAAATTCTCACGAATGGCGGCTCGTAAAGCAAGTTCCTCGTATAATGATGCACTCGTACTACGAGGTTCTACAATAATGTAAATAGGTTTTTACTAATTGTAAAGCATTACAGTGTTATTATGCGATTCAATATTTTCACAATAAAATCAGTATTAGCCTCCAGATGTTGGCATAATATTCAGGATATTATTTACAGGATACCACTGAAATTTTAGTTTTATCATCTGTTTTTATAAGAAATATTTATAATAGATTATTTGGTGAAGTTTGTTTCATAATGCAACTAGAGTATTGTTTATCATAATATAAATGAATATATATATATATATATATATATATATATATATATATATATATATATATATATATATATATATATATATATATATATATATATATATATATATATATATTATATATATATATATATATATGTATATATATATATATATATATATATATATATATATATATATATATATATATATATATATATATATATATATATATATACATATTCATATATATATATATACAATAGTAGAGTTGTTGATATTATATTCTAATTTCAGTAATTTCTAATGAATCATAAGAATTATATAAGTATCTCAAATATTTAATCTCAAAAGAGAAGCACGATAGTGTAGTTGTTGAATAAGGAAAACATAAATTTGGAAGTTGCGAAAGATTTGAACAGATATCACAAAACAAAACAAACATTTCAAAACTTTGACAAGTCAAGAACACAAAAAGTGAATTTAACAATTCTAGAAAAATATATTTGGGACAATTTTAAATGCAACAAGAAAGAAAAATAGATTTAGTAGCGTGTAAATAATTAATGAAGATGAGGCTGTGAATGTAAACAGAGATCAGAGATGTAGAATATTAAGAACATTCACTAAAGCTATAAAAGAAACCAAACCTTCACCTTTGACAAAACAAAGCAAAACAAAGAGAAACGTGTAAGTTGTGTGAAGAGAAACAAGAAACATTGGAAGACTGTTGATGCGCTTGGATCAATGATTGAGATCAGAAACGAGGCGGTAGATTCTTACGGAGGATTTGCGAATGAGAAAAAAATTCTCAAAGTTGGTGTTTCAAATCTTGACAGATGAACAGAAATAATTTCGGCTTCATGTTCCATCTGGTCTTTTGAATAAATCAGAGATGGTTAGCCAGTAACTACGGGCAAGGAAATGTATTGTTTTCAATATGAGCAGAAAACAAAACGCCAGGGGGATACAGAGGATAACAAAGAGCTCGCCCCGTCACACCAAAAGCGCACATATCTCACACGCATTTCAAGATCATGATTAAATGTTTATTTAGAAATTATGAAAGGGTTACGAGAATCTGTTCCGAGGAAAAAAAACCAAAAAAACATGAAAATATTCCAGCGTATGGTGCATTTAGGATTTCGCGAGTTTCTGGCTAAAAACCAAATCAATTACAAAAAATAACGATCCATCTTTTTCATCAGACTTTTTCCCTTGTAATCTTTGGATATTTACAAAATTGGGAACATTTGCTGGCATCTCTTACATCAGATAAGCTGTGATTCGTTTCAAGAATATTTCAAGCAATGCAAGGTGAGTACTTTAAGGCAATATCAGCCAATAATGACCAGCGAAAAACAAATTGCTTTCTCAGGATGGAATATGTGGATGTGCAGAAAGGGACATTGGTTTGCAACGGTCAAAATTCATAGAAGATTGTCGACTTTTACAAAATTTTTCTCATAAAAACAAAAAAATATGCATCTTCTCTCAGTGGAATTTTAGCATATCTTTCTTAAAAAAAAAATCTTAGATTCAAATCATATCACTCTTTAAAAAAATCATAGATTCAAATCCATTTTATATATATATATATGGTCTTAACAATATATCGACGCATTTCTTAATTACTCATAAATAAATTAACAAAATTCGTCCTACAATGAAATTCATATATGAAAAAGAAACAAATTACACCTTACTTTTTCTTGATAATTCTGTAAATTCAAACTGATAATAATTTGGAATTAATTATCTACCCTAAACCAACAAATAAACACGAATTCATAAATCTTTACCCACATCCCAAGAAAAAATCCAGACCAATTATAGTTTTTTTTTTTAATTTAAGCCCTATTACATTTTGCAACTTCAGATATTTATCTGATGAACAACAATATACTGAAATTATTTTTTAAATAAATTTTATAACTCATTATTTTGAAAAATATTTACATTTCCCAATATGGAAATTATCACAAACATTTCAAAAACATTTTAAATGTAAGCAATGTAAGATTAACTTTACATCAAAAGCAAGAATGTAAACGATTTCCCCCCCCCCAAATATATCTGGGAATTTAAAGAACATATGCAAACATGACTTAATAACACTCTCAATGCACTTGTCTGCTAGAAGAATCTTTGTAATTCCAATATTGACGTAGAAAATGCAGTTTTTAAGCATTCCACCTGCTAGGCAGAGAAATCGAATAGAGAGAGAGAGAGAGAGAGAGAGAGAGAGAGAGCTTGATTGCTATTTGTTATCCATCCTCTTATATGATAGTAAATGATAAACAATTACCCCAAGAATAAGGAAAAACTAGAGGCAGCAAAAATATGGCTTTACGGAAGGATGCTGAAAAATTCCATCGACAGAACTAGTAAGAAATAAGGAAATCTAAAAGAAAGTGACAACAGAAAGAATATCAATACTAAGAAATATGTAAAGAAAGCGGAAATTCCTTGGGCATAAAATGAGAAAAGAATGCTTGGAAAACTTATCCATCACGGGACATATGGAGGACAAGAGATAGAGAGAGAGATAGATAGATAGAGAGAGAGAGAGAGAGAGAGAGAGAGAGAGAGGTGAAAGCAGGTGAGTCATTTGCCTAAAGAGCTTGTGTGGTGAATGAATGTGTGAGCGGCTTGTAGTCATTAGTCTTAGCAAAGAGAGGAAACTGCTAAGAGCCACACGATATAGAAAGATATTTAGTCCTGAAGGGACGCAAATTTACGCAGATTAATATGCATTTGAGAGGCTCGTACAATTAATACACGACTGATTATTTCAGTAGATCACAGCTTCTTACTAAATTATTACTGAAACAATATAGGATACGTAAAGGTTAAAAAAAGTAACGCATATTGTCGAATTTAATCATATTCAATTTTTTATAACGTTACAGAAAATGTAAAATTAATCCTTTATATATTTAACGTGAATTACATTTTGTCTCGATAATGTCGATTCTGTTAGAATAACATGAGATATACGATTAAGTTATATTTACTATTTCGTCATATATATATATATATATATATATATATATACGCGTTTGTGTGCATGCGAGGAAGAAAAACACAGACGAAAAAATTCGAATGAAAAAATATTGGAAGTGTAAAGGAACAAGAGAAAGAAACAGGCATTCAACTTAGAAACACACGTCTGTTAATAAGGAGGAGGAAAAACTATCATGATGGGAAGCTGCGAAAGTAACTCTTCCGTACTTTTGGAATCTATCTATATATCTATCTGTTTATACTTCATTCCTGTAGCAAACAGAAAACTTGTACTATATAGCATATAACTAATAAATTGAATTTATTTTACGGCTTGACTTTATCTTGCTACAAGAAATCATATGCAAGCGGACAAGAAAGAAGAGCGGAGGAATAAAGAAATCAAATATGTCAATAAAGAAGAATTGAAGGAAAAATATGGATGAAGTGAAACTGAGAAAAATGGTTGACGGTGGATGTTGGTTGGGAATAATCTTAAGAAGAAAGCGAGCTATCATAAAAAGAGCGATAAAAAAAATGAACACCTAAAAGGCAATGTCATATGCCCAAAGAAGGGAAATTAAAATTACAAGAAAAACAAAGAAATAATGTAACAATTCATAAAAACATTTTTATTTTCAAGCCATGGAACAAAGGAGAGAATCAAATTTTGGCAAGTCAAGGTCTACAGAAATGAGAGCACGATGGGGAAATATTCAAATTTAGAAAATTTAGAAAAAAACCTCATCAGCTATGGCTATTTCACGAAGAAAAGCCAGTCAAAAAGCAAGCCTGATTAAATTGTTACTCTGTTTTTAGTTTTAGTTTTGAATTCTTTTCTTCATTTATCTTCTTTTGTTTTAAGATCAAATAATATTTCTACTCTCTGCCATTCCTATTGCTTTTATCTTCTCAGTATTCTTTCTTTTATTTTGCGCCGTCCTTCTAGTTTGATTGATTTATTGATTTATTGACTTTTTCCCTTGAATCCATTCCGTCTATTCTGATGTTTTCCTTTTTGTAACGGTTCATCATAATCGTTTCTTTCATCTTTTTTCTCTCCCTTTCGTCTTTTTCTTTTTTTCTTTATTACCTTTTAACTTCTTTCTTAATCTCTAGTTTTCTTTCTTTTTTTTATCTCTTCTACTTCTTTACCTTTATCTCCTTTCTTTCCGTTTATGTCTTTTTTTTCTGCACCTTCATATTTTACAATGTTTTCTCTCACTCTGAATTCATTATTTTTATTTTCTAGTTTTTCTTCAGAATGTGTACATGCGTGCACGCGCGTGTATGTGTGTGTGTGTAAATGTGTGCTTGTGTGTGTGTAAATGTGTGTGTGTGTGTGCGTAAGAGTGTGTAAATATCTCACACGGAATGATGACATTGATTTGCAGTTAAATAAGAATTGAAGACCTCCGGTTAATAATCATAAAAGGCTTGTAAATGTAAAGAGAACTTGTACCAAAGAAAAAAATCCCCTTAGTCTCCGGCCGTTGCTCCTGAAACCGATGTCACTTCAACCAAACAGAATTTTTCACCACCAACTACCACTATGAACCTCTGAGATGTTTTCATATCATATCAATGAAAACTTCATATCAATAAACTTTTCCGGGAAGAAGAAAAGAAATATTATTTTCATAAAATTTTAATCAAATTGTTCATCCAAGAAATATGCTTATTTAACCATTTATAAGTGATTGTCGCTTGGACAGAATTTTTCCGTAGAGGTGTAAAAATAGTAAATTTCGCTATTGTATTTTTCTTAATAATTAAAGTGATTTGTAAATGAAGGTTGTACAATACTTTATATTTGGAACATATTTTGCAGGCTGAGCAGATGAATATAAGGAGAGAGAGAGAGAGAGAGAACGCCACTAATACGCACGCAGACATAAATACACGCACAAATACGGACGTAGACGTACATACACGCATTGCAGATCATATGCTGAAAAGCGTGAACTAAAATTAAAAATTAATCAGTTTGTCTGACGATCGCAGATGGCGTGAAACCCAGAGTCACAAACTGACACCAATCTAACTAAATAACGCTCCTCTGTGGCCAAATCGGTAAAGGCACGTCAAGCTAAATGACGGTTCCGTATAGGATATAGGTTCGAGCATTTACTTAAATATTTGTATCTATAAAAAGAATGTATAAACATAAAAATGTCTTAAATTATATATATATATATATATATATATATATATATATATATATATAGTTGGATTGATGTGTGTTTGTGACACTGGGTTTCACGCTATTTGCGATCGTCAAACAAACATTAATCCAACTAAATACGTTAGGTCTATCACTGATATTGAGCGCTTTCCAATAAGTAATTACCGCGCATATATAATATATAAATAATATGTACAAAAATGCATATATATATATATATATATATATATATATATATATATATATATATATATATATACCCAAGTATAGGATTGGTGTATCCGGAATAAATTCCAGTAGCCAAATATACTATTCTTAAAACAGTGTTAACAAGTAGAACAAACATAAATATGTTATAAAATGACTACAAAAATACCCATTTTGTTTCAACACTTCTGGTGTCTTATCAAGTGATGACGTTGAATGTAGAATAAAAAGTTGTAGAAGGGGAACGCTGATACATAAGTTGCAATGACCAATCAAAATACATGTAGATGAAAATTCAAAAAACTTGACAACGTACCTTGGTTATAATAATTAATGCCTCATTGTTAGAGTTAGACTAAAATAGAAATCGTTCTAACTAATTATTATTAAATTTTACTATAAAATTGTAAATTAAAAATTACTAATTTTAAATTTAATCTGTATCAAGTTTAAAGTATTGTAAAATTATTTAAAGAAATACATATATTTTGTTATATATTTTGTTTTAATTGAAACACATATATGCATTTATCTATAAAAATATACACACATGTGCAGACACAAACAACATAATAAACGTATACTTACATATATGTACATAGATAGGAGGATTAGCAGATAATATAAGAAATAACATACGAAACGTACAGTAAAGTAGTGAAGTCTTGTATTTATGATTACTGCTGTTGAAAGATAGCACATGTTCCCGCCAACGTTCTTTGAATATATTCATAGTACTTCAAATGTATTTTTTTTTAATATTGGGGTTTTCTAGTGTAGAAATTGTACTCAGATAAACTAGAGAACTAGTTAAACAATTATCTGTATTGGACAATTATTAGGATTCCTACAATTGCACAAGTTGTTATTTGTGTCATTAAACTTAGTTTTACTCGTTGCAGCCTGGCGAGTAGTCAAGTTTTGAGTCCCTATACTTGTTGAAAACTCTGTTATTATGTTTCTTACTTATTTTTTCCAGTTTATCAGCAAAACTATTAGCTTAATGTAAGGGTATTATAATTGAATATTTTACTGAGTGGATTAGTTTCGGGGTCGGGGAAATGTTTTTTGATAAGGTTTAGAAATTTATGTCCTAGTTTGGTTTTAACCATTAGGTTGAAAGGGGGAGTAAACCAAATGATCTTCCTGGATCTTCTTTTCTTATTGTGGTCATAATTAACATGACTTCTATACTGAACAGTGCTATCCTTGTAACCATTATTTTCTAAGGGCAGAATTATAAAATTTTATTAAAAACCTCTTTGCTAAAAGAGTTAGTACTTATCCTAAATTCAATGGAGGAGGGTATGTGCGAAGCGGGGGTGGTTGGAATTAGTATGTACATATACCGGGTTAGAATTAACTTTCACATAACGTTGAATAGAGATATTAGTGAGGTCTAGGGTGACCTTAAGAAAATCTACCTGTTTAATGTTAGTCGTAACTATAGTCTTATGACCTAAGTCCTTAAACTTCCTATGGATCATTTTTCTAATGTGATCTACTTTAATTTTTGTAGAATCTTTAACTACTAATAAGACATCATCTCTATACAATCCTACACTACCAGAATGTAGACATTCAAAGGCACTTAAATTGTATAAAAGAAATAATCCCACCAAGTCAGAGGCTTCAGCAGAATCTAAAGAACCCGTTGAAATGTCAAAATTATCACTGCAAGACTTTTTGGTCCACTGTTCTTCATTGTAAACCAGAACAGAATTTCGACAAGATTATATCCATTTCATTCTCAGAAATAGTGGAGTATTCCTGAGCGAACTCCAAAGCCAAAGTGAACAGATCTTTAGATATGGAGGGGGGGATAATAGTCAATAATGTCGAACTGTATGAAAGTGCAGTTGTCCTTATTTTGGATGCCAGTAAACCAGTTGATAACATCAGCAGTATTAAACCACTGTACAGTCCAAGGGTGTTTTTAATGGATAGGTTGGTTTTCTCCAAGATGATTTCGCTGATTCTACTGATTTCCTTTCTGCTAGGATTAATAAGACGAGTTGATGGCTTGGTTCTGAAATCAGGTTTATGGTCCTTTAATAAAATATAAGCTTCTTTAGCTTGCAATTTACTGACACGATCACTTATACGTAGTTTGTCAGTAATAGATTTGCTGACACAGTTAATCCTATCTATCAGGTTAAAATTAGTTGTGTTTATAAGTCTATTTGGATAATATATATATATATATATATATATATATATATATATATATATATATATATATATATATATATATATATATATATATATATAGTAGATAGATTACTTTGTGGCGTAAACCGGAGAGTGACAGAATGTTTCCTCGATAGTTCAATATTCTTCTCAATATCTTAGTTTTTTTCCAAAAATGTCGTCTGGATGGTTACAACGCTTCCTCTGATTTTCCATTTCATTCCGTTTCTCGAGCTCTTCGGAACCGTAGTCAGAGCTCCGATAACGACTAGCACGACTGTCATCTTCCGGGCTATTTTTACACTTTCTTGAATATCGACTCCGCCTTCTTCAAGAACAGCCAAATCTACCATTTTATTCCTCTTAACTAATTTATATCGCCTTTTGGCTCCTTCTTCGTTTTCTTCCTCATATTATTATTATTATTATTATTAGACCAACTGTATAATTATTATACTAATCTTTCATGTGGTGAGTAGAAGCCTACATACCTACAGTATTGAGACCTTTCTATCATCCGCCCCATCTTGGTATTCCATGTTACGTGACTTTCAGATCTAAATGTGCCTCCTGCAGCCGATGCCGGAGGAATTGTTGACCCCCGTTATCTCCGTTCGAGAAGCCGAGCTACGATGATAACCACCACACACACACACACACACACACACATACATACATACATGCATACATGCATAAACACACACACTCATATATATATATATATATATATATATATATATATATATATATATATATATATATGGAGAGAGAGAGAGGAGAGGGAGAGACAATATAAGGAGAAATCAGACAGCCGAGATCGAATTCTGATCGAGTTCGTTACTGTTGTGGTACGATACACCTAATTTACATAAGTGGAGTACCGACCATATAAATATGGGTTGGTACCGGAAGACGGGGGAAAAAAGTAAGAAGAGATCGAATCGAGAGACTCTGCCCGACTGCTATTTAGTCAACCCATTATGCAGGAACAGTCTTCCCAAGAATATACCAAAACTAACTGTAAATATTGTGTACCTTTTCCTTGTTTCAATACATTTTGTTTACGTACATTTTGTGTTGTATTATTATTATTCCATGCTTATCCAAGTTTCAACAGTTACACACGAATACCTTTGGGAATCGTATGTACCAATCTCCTTCTCTCCCTAGCCATGGGTTAAATAGTAGTAGAGAGTATTTTGTTTAGCCTTGTTTTGTAACCAGTCTAGGAGAAGGATAAATGTGAGTTCAAAACGCAAAAAATACAGTTTGCGGACCTTGTTACATACTATGTACACTAATTTTCTGTATTTATTTATTTTGAAAAGTGAATAGTGCTGCACAAGCCTACGGGTAGACTGACAGTTCAGTTTCAGGAGCTGATTTGTAAGACGTATTGTTGAACATACATATACACACACACGCCTGCACACACAGACACACACACACAGACACACATACACATATATTGTGTATTTAGGCAACAATCCCTTATTTATACCTGTTTCTTTATAGACGGCAAACAAAAATGATTACATGCCTGCACAAACAAAGTCCCATTCTATGACCATAATGGCAACATCTACACCCAAACTAATGGTGTTAGTTTGGGAAATGCGCCCGGCCCGTGCTTCTCCAATTATTACATGTCCCATGTCGAAATGTCATATTTAAACAAATCTGTAAACCTAAAATATATGTCAGCTATATAGACGGTATCTTTATTTTAGGGAAAAACACAAAAGAAATAGATATTCTTAAGACCACAATTGAAATAATCTTGTCCTTAACTTTACTTACGAACTTGGGAAAAATAAACTACCATTCTTAGAAGCTCTCGTAGAATACAGTAACAACACATTTACCAAATCATTGTATAAAAAACCATTAGCAGGAAATCTAGCCACCTTAATTTTAAGAATGAATGCCCACTTAGATACAAAATAGCAGTGATAAAAACTTCTTTAAAATAGTACACCAAAATTCAACCTCTCGTCTACTTTTCCTTAAAGAACTCAGCAATGCAAAACAAACACTAGTTAATAATGACTTCCCTGATCAGCTTATCGACTAGCAAAGTAGATTATTTGTTTCCAAAGTAAATAATAATGATAATGAACTCACAGTAAAAAATAACATGAATATTTTCTACAAAAACCAAATGCACATCAAGTACAAACAGGATGAATCTTAACTTAGAAATATCACAAAGAAATACACTACGCTGTGTGCGTGAGCGTGTGTGTGTGGTTATTCAGTGTAAACAAACCTTTAGCGATTAATATGCATTTCAGAACAATTTAATTTTTCTCTCGTGAAATTTCACATTTATAAAAGATTGAGGTATTTTTCTGGC